AAGGGAAAATGGAAATAACAGCTGAAATTAATGAAACAGAAAACAATAGAGAGTGAATCAAAGTAAATTTTGGCTTTCTAATGATCAATAAAATTGATGAGCCTCTAACTAGACTGGAAAAGAGAGGGGCAGGGAAAGCTACTAACAACCTGTATGAAAGAAAAGATGTTACTATAAATCTTACAGACAGAAGTAGCTTCCACCCAGGTGCTGGGTCTTTCTGAGAAAGCGAAGGCAGTGCTTGGTGAGCCCTGACTTCCTCTCTTTAGCACTGTGCCCAGCAGTGACTACACCCAACAGCACTATGGCCTAGGTCTCCAAACTAGCCTCTGTCTACACTGTCTACCCTCATAATGCATGACAATGAAGCTACCATCACAGAGAATGAGATTAATAAGTTTGTTTAAAAAGTTGGTATAAACAAATCAGATTTCTCTGCTTATTCGCTAAGGCCAGGTTCAATGTTAGCCTTGGGAATTCCTATGCAATGGAGGGGCTGATGGATCTGCTCAATCAGCTGGAGGCCCCTCCACCACTGCTAAACCAGCCCAGGAGAATAAGGTAGAGATGAAGAAAGGGAATTTGGGAGTTTGATGATGACATAAGCTTGGGACATTTTGACTAAACTTTGTAATATATTAAGTAAGAAGCTGAACTTTGGGGAGGAGTGATAAGTAAGTGAGCACTTGGCTCCCATGTGTGAAACTCTGGATTAATCCACAGAACCATAGGAGAAAAAAATTGAATTCTGGGAAGAAAATTAATAATAAAAGTACTTTATGAATTGATTTATTACAATAAATTTGAAAATCTAGGTGAAATGCACAAATTCTTGAATGATACATTTTTCCAAAACCAAAACAAAAGGTAATTCTGAACCACAAAATAAAAAATTGATAAATTTGAGACCTTCGAAATTAACTTCTGTTCTTCAAAGGACATTGTTAATAATATAAATGGGAAAGTGATAGGATGGAAGAAAATATTTTCAAAATATAAATATAAAAGTGTTGATATCCAGAATATATCAAGAATTCTTACAACTCCAAACTAACAAGATAACTCATTTCAAAAATGAGCAAAATATTTGAAAAGACACTTCACAAAACAGTGGTCATGAAGTACATATAAAGATGACATCAGTCAGCAGGGAAATGCACATTAAAATCCTAGTAAGATATTATACACGCTCTGCCATGGTTAAAAATAAAGACTGACTAAACCAAAGTTCCAGAGGATATGGAACAACTGGCATTGTAATACATTACTGGTGAGAATGTAAAATAAAACAACTTTGGGAAACAGCGTGGCAGTTTCTTATGAAGTTTATACATACCACACAATTCAGTAATTCACTCTTAGGTGTTTAAAAGGAAAATAAAAATATATGTACACACAAAAACTTAGGCACAAATATTCATGGCAAATTTATTCATAGTAGTCAATGAACTTCCATCAATGGAAGAGATAAACTGTGGTATTTCCATAAGATGCAAATCAATTTGTCAATTCAAGATCTAAAACAAATTATAGACACAACAATCCTCAACATTCTGTTGAGCAAGTCAGACTCAAATGAGCATGTACATTATAGTTCCATTTATGTGAAACCCAAGGAAATGTAAACTAATCTGTACTGACATAAAGGAGTTCAGTGTTTGCCTAAGGTCTAAAATGAGGGACACAGGAGAATGTTTGTGATAATGGAAATAGTCTATACCAATTATTGTATTCACAGGATTATTCATGTTTGTCCCATCTACTTGGGCTATGCAGTTGAAAAGGATGTATCTTGTTATAAATAAATTATGCTGCAATAAATTTATATTTTAAGTACATTTTAAAAAATATGTCTGGACATAGTCATACATGCCTATAATTCCAGTGATGCAGGAGGCTCAGGCAGGAGGATCACAAGTTTGAGTCCAGCCTTAGTAGCTTAGTGAGGCCTTAAGCAACTTAAAAAGACCCTGTCTCAAAATTAAAAATAATAATAATAAAGGGGGGATGAGGTACCTCAGAGGTAAAACACCCCAAGATTCAATCCCCAGTACCCAACCTACCCCCCGCCCAAATTGTATGTAATACATGGGAAGAAAAAGTGTATTCAGTCTATCAGCATAGTTTATCTAATATACAAAAAACAGTGAAATTTATTGGCTTGGCTAACATATCAGAGTTTGGGTATGGTGTGTGCTAAAGGAAGTTTTAAGATATACATGTTTTATTTCTCTAATAAACTAACAAGTAAACCATTTTGATGAAATAAGAACTTTCTACTAAATAAAAATATTGATTTTAAGGGGAAAATGCCCATCTATAAATAGCCAGCATTCTTTTGACTAGTATTTTACTCCAATTGATGGACATCAACTAAATAATATATAACTATAATAATTTTGTTATATTATATTTTTATCTCTATCTTGCAATATTTAGCTCTACTTGCTTCCTCTCCAACCAAAACAAAACAAACAAACAAACAAAAAATAACTCTTCTGTATAATTTAAAACATCATCAGCATAGAATTTCCCAAGAGATATATTTCAATGGTTCATTCGGGTCTTCAACTACATACTTACAATCCAGATTTTCCATCATAACACTAAGCGGGAAGTACCTGTTTATTACATAAACTAACGTTTCAATGGTAAGATGGAGATAAAACCACAGTATTTATTAAAAACTAAACAAGTTACACAAGTAACTGTGTGGTTTAGGTAAAATAACTATCATTGATTATGTGCTCTCAGAATCTCTTTGCAGAGCATGTAATAGGTACTTTTTGGAAACATAACAGTACATAAAGATACATCCAATTCTATGCTTAGGATGCAAAATATACTTCCTACATGAGTCACAGGAATTAGTTTGTGACAAATATTGCTAAGCTCTCCTTGTAACAATGTATTAATTGACTCAAATTAGAAAGAATTTAGGGCTGCTGATGCTTCTTTTGGAAGGTATACCCTAAACAACTGATCTGCCTTAGAGAAAATTAATGTCTCTTGCACAGGCTAACTCAGCTAAAGATCTCCTGGATTAGTCTGGATTTCCAGAAAAGCAGATCAATAGATGACAGATAAATAGATACAGAGATACCTAGAATTATTGTAAAGAATTGTCCTAAGCATTTATGGTGGAGAAACAGTGGTATAATTTCATTCTGAGTCTGGGTACAAGTCCAAAGTAAGAGAAGACTTATTTCCCAACACAGACATGCAGGCAGAGAGTGAGTTCTCCCTTATTTTGTCATTTTGTTCTGTTCACATGGATAAGATGAGGCCCACCCAGAGTGGGGAGTTCAATCTGCTTCACTTGTCTACTGATTCAGAAGTTAATTTCGCCAGCACAGTGGTGCATACCTGTAATCCCAGCAGCTCCAAAGGCTGAGACAGGAGGATCCTGAGTTCAAGGCCAGCCTCACCAAAAGCAAGGCACTAAGCAACTCAGTGAGAACCTGTCTCTAAATAAAATTTTTTTTAAAAAAGGCTGGGGATGGGGCTTAATTTGAGTGCCCCTGAGTTCAATCCCCAATACCAAAAAAATACAAAATAACAACAACAAATAGTTAATTTCAACCAAAATACCTTCACAGACTCACCCAGAGTAATATTTAACCAGCTTATCTGAGCACCCTGAGGCCTAATCAAATTAACAAAATTAAACCTTGTATCTCCTCAGTTTTCATCTCTTTAAATACAAAATAAATAAATAAAAATTGAAGGGCTCCTCTTCTTTCCCAGGGACATTCTCTTGCTTTGGACTTCTATGACAAACAAGGAAGGTGAAAACCAAGCATAATATACAAATGATAAGATAAATGCTGTGGAAAAAAGCAAATGCTCAAGAAAGCATAATGCTGCTGTTACTGCTTTTCCCACCTGCACAGTATACTGCTGTTCCAGTGCCTTGTACATACACATCAGCTCCAGGCTCCTGACAGATGACCAAAGATATATATATATATATATATATATATATATATATATATATATATATATATATATATATATATATACACACTCACACACACACACACACACACTGTACCTAAATCACCTGGTATATATGATATATATACCAGGTGATTTAGGTACAGAGTATTTCATTTTTAGGATTATTCTAAGCTGAAAACAAATACTACAAGGAAAAAAGAAAATATACAAAGACCTTATTTTAAATCCTAAAGATTTAGCTCAAGAAGTACTAATGAGGGTATTTTACCTAAGTACTGAAAATATTGCAAGGGATAAAATAACACTTTCTTCCTATATGTAAAAGAACAAAAATGTATTCTATTTTTTCTTAAAAATTAAACTATATGCATTTTCTAAGCCAGAGATATATTATTATGCAAAGAAATTGTGAAAGTGAATTAGAATAAATTAAAAATCATATACAAATTAACACTCTAAAGAAACTTTAGTCTTCTTTTAAAAATTAGTCATTACTCAGAAAATCCAAAGTTTTAAAAATAACCTTAAAATTTATAACAGACCTCTACTACTACAAGATTAGATTTGAAGCTAAGAGGCAAAGAGAGTCACAATTTTAAAATTAATATTTAACTTTAATTCAAAAAGTGTTTTATAAATCCCTAAAAGATGTTTTTGCCCATGAATATGTTTTTCAGAAAAAAGAAATTATAGTGAGCCATAGCATGCCTTACTAAAAATAATCAAATGCTATATTCCAAACCCATTGCATCTCTAGTCAATGCTCCTGATCACAAGCTCATGTTATTAAAAAAAAAATTGTATTTGTACTTTAATTTAGAATCCATAATGAGTTTTAATACTTTCCCTCTCTATTTATACCATTAAAATTATAAAAATTTCAAGTGTTACTAGTTTAATTTTTTTGCACATGAGCCAGTGGTAAATCTGCATAACTGGGCTGGCTGACATGATCAAAATCTACATGATTGATATCCTGAGAAGATATACTATACACATGTGTAGTGTTCCCCCATAACTTTCTTTTTTATCCAATCCAGCACTAATGTATGCAAGCATTTTTGGGAATGTTTCTGCAATTATCCAAAGACTGTACTCGGGAACTGCCAGGTACCACATGCAGATGCTACGAGTAAAAGAGTTCATTCGTTTTCACCAAATCCCCAACCCTCTGAGGCAACGGCTTGAAGAGTATTTCCAGCATGCATGGACTTACACCAATGGCATTGACATGAACATGGTATGTATTTCTGTTTCCCAAAATAGTGCTACAGGCATTAGAGCTATAGCCAAAATGAAAAAGCCAGTCTCACCAGCTTTGAATCCCTTGCTTTTGTTTTCTTCTCTCAGATGTTTATTTTCTCCCCTGGAGATAGTGTCTCATTCTCAATTCATGGCATTGCATGGTGCTATATCTAGTTATACTGTGTGGCAAAGGCATTATAACATGATGCAAACTGATATAACTGTGTGTTGTAGAGTTCCCACTTCTGGTTAGAGAAAGTCTTGCTTTAGCTGGGACTTGGACTTTCAAAGTATGGCCTAATTGTCAGCACCCAAAAAAGTAGCTGAACCCATGTGAAATTAAAATTTGGCAAGTAAACTGTAACAATGTCCCCAAACAGAGATCCGAGGTTAAATAAAACATTTTAAAAAGTAGAACATTTAAAAATTTTTAGGAAAGATTAGGAAACTTAAGCATGTTAAAAGCATTTTCTGATAGGAAGTTTCATGCCACTTTCAACAACAATTTTTCTATATTTTGAAACAATTAACGCTGTGCCCTTTTAATGTACTTGCTTTAATGAATCTTTCATTTCAAGGGGAAAATATGGATTCCTTCATATATTTTAAGCAAATTTGACACCAACAATCACTTATCACAACCCTACCTCCTGTTATCACTGCTCAAAAATCAATATTTATCAGCCTGCTTTAAAGGGCCTTTTATTAGTAGGGAAAAATGCTAAAATTCTTTTATTTGCTTTTTTGATTTTAGAAAATAATTGTTACAGATAAATTATACAACAAATCCAAAGTCAATGACATATCGTTGAGCTATAGGAAAAAGATTAAAATTTGGAGCCTTCCCATCTAGCTAATCCTCCACTGGGCAAGGACCCTATTTCTGAGAATTCTTTAGAAAATAAAATCACTGACATTTAATTACATCAATTTCATAATATAAATTTTAGTAAATGAAGCTATAGAATTTACATTGATTTTTTTGTGTATGTGACCAGCAAAATTTTAACCAAAAACCAAGTTTCAAAATTAGGAGTAATGATGCAGGAAACATTACAAATATTGCCCAATTTAAAGCACATTCATTGTCTGTGGATAAGTTTATCATAACTGCATGCAATTTATTTGAGAAATAAAGAATATACCATTTTAAAACTTTTAATTTGAAGAAGTAATCAAGTTAGCACATTTCATACAAAACTGTAGCTTAATTCCATGAGTTATTTCCAATCATCCCAAAGTTCATTGTGAAAAATTCATTTGATAAATTCTCCCAGGGGAACACTTTAATCTTGCAAGAAAGAACATTTATATATTATTCGTGTATATATTTTCATCAGTATGATTGTTTAATAAAAGCATCAGTATTTAAAACTTATCTGGGAATCTCTACTGCTGGGTTGATGAAGCAGTGTCAAGAATTTTTAATCAAAATAAGTATCACTCAATTTTATTGTTCCACACTGCCAGATTATTTAAATAACAGTAGTAAAGCACTTATTTATTTTACCCCCACCCCATAAACTCTAATTTTATGACCATTTTTTTTTGTGGTAAAGTCTACTTTGTGACAACTATTTACCTTTCATTGTTTTACTCTATTACCTATGAATATGGTTTATATACCACTTGCCTATTTACAATGTACTTATGAAAGATTTATCTCTTTCCTGTCTGCTTCACACCTTAACACATGGAATCACAACACCCACCGGTAAGAACAGGAGGTATTTATATCCAATTTAATTCTCGTGTAAATTGTGGAGAACACCCTTGTTATCTGTCAGGTTTAGAGCTTGTTAAATGATTTCCAATGTTAGCTTTGATCTTTTTTGCATGATGTAGCAGAGGAAATACAAAGCAAGAAACTGGGAAAGACAACCTGGAAGAGGCCAAGTTCAGAATAGTTATTCTTAAACTTAACAACAACTTGACCTCTATCTAATATTTATATATAGTTTCCCACTCCCTGCAAAGATTTACTTCTCTGCCCCATTCCCACTCTGGTAAAGGTTATGGGTATACGGTTTGCATTAGATAATTGTCATAAAGAAAATGTCATTCTATTTCATCATCCTCTATTTTCATGATGTAGGTGCTTTTCTTTCCTCTCATCTGCATGCCAGTATTACATGATCCTGGAGTGTGTGGGCTCTAAACCATGTGCCGCTGAGTCTTGCATGTGGTTTTGAGAACTTGACTTTGCACGAACTTCTCGTTTGTACACAGTGTCTACATTTCTCATTTTGTGACTGCAAAGTGAGTAAAAAAATCAAAGTTCAAGGTAACTGAAAACTCAGCAAATGGAAGATGCTTGCTTATTAAGCATGATAATGCAAAATAAAATTGATTAGAGAAAACCAACTGTACTCCTAGTCTATTGAGAGGTTAAAAAAATAAGTGGACTTTTTTTTTACCTCCAAAACTACATTGTTAAAATTCTTATATAATGTCAATTTATTGTTAACTAAGCTATAATTTATTAACAGTTGAAGATAGTCTAGATTTATGTATTGTGATACATGAAAATACATCAAATTGTTGTATTTTGCATCAGCATTCCATGTTATTTCATTTAAGTATAACCTTAAATATAATTTCTCATGAGACATTTCAGGTCATTTTTACTGTTAGTCATGTCCAAATAAAGTACAGCATTTCTGAACACACTGTATTAATTGACTTAAAGTTATTTTCATTGCATAAAAAGATAGGGAAGAATTGACCTAAAAAGTGTGGCCATTTGTGAAAGCAATTGCCAGAATGTCCCAAAACTGAAAAAATTCTGGGAACAATGATTCCTTTAATTGAACCAATGGTTGAGTACAAAAGGAAAAGGGCCAAGGATGATGAGGCCAGATTCTTTAGAGTCTGATTTCAGACTCTAAAGAATTATCTCAAAAATTTAAAGTTATCTCAAAGATCTGCACAGGTTAATTCTGAAAACCCCTTTTCTTTTTACCTGCAGAAAATTGACTAGTTAGGAATGAGGAGATGCTTTCTCAGGTTAGGACTGATGGCTTCTCAAGGAATTTCCCTAAATCAAAGCCATCTTTCTGACCCAGTCTGAAACTTTCTGAGGTTTGCCAACATTTAGTTACAATACTACTAAGATAATGAAAATAATCTTCCATGCCAGTATAGAATCAAATGGTATCATGTCACACATAAGAGAATGAAGAAGAGTCTTGATGATTCATATATCCTTCTGGATGGAAGGAAGTAACCCATTTAAGACACAAATCACTTTGTAATTTAATATTATAATGGCATGGAAGAAAAACCTCTATAAACATTTAATGGAGAATGTATTCCATACCAAAAAATACTGCCCAGAATCCTGAGTAATGCCTGGATAATAGAAGAAAACACAGATAGGGAAGACCCAAATACAAGCTTTAAGTTGCTTCTAATCTTGGACAAGTCACTTTACCTTTTCTGCAATTTCATTAAACTTGTTATTTTCAAGTATTTTTAAAGCACAATACTCAGACATGGTAAATGTGTAAAGCCACTATCATGAGAATTTTTCTTCCTGAAGATGGAGTTTCTAGTCTATCTGCTGCCCATCTCCTCCCTCCCTGCTGTGAGCATCTGGGTCTCCCTTGTGGAACATCTGCTTCTGCATGGAGTATTATTCCAAAATTACTGGACTAGGTGGGTGGCAGAATTGTGATGGCAGAGAACCAAGGAGAACATTTCCAGTAAAGACGAGCAAAATCATTGAGGCATATATGTGGAAGAATACAAAGCAGAGTTTGACAAATCATCCAGATGAAATTTTATTTAATTATTTTTTTAGAAAGAAAGAAGAATAATTGATTGGGGTTTTTAGCCTGGGACAATCATAGATGAAATTTTGAAAGGCAGACATAGAAAGGAGTCAGAATAAGAGCCTAAGAAAAGGGATAGATTATTCAACAGTGTGGATAGAAAAGTTTTCTCTGAAGACCAACAGGGAAGACATGAGAAAAGGTGAAGATATTGGCAGAGAGAGAAAACAACTCTTGTACTACATGGTGTAGCCTCCATGTCAAGCAGGAAGTAGATAGGTACCTGAGAAAGAGTTAAGTATGGGACAGGTATAGAACTGAAAAGGGGAGGAATTTTTTGAGATTTCAATCAAGAAACAACATAGTAGGTTAAAAATACATAGAATCACAGTGGTATTCTGAGTGACATGCCATACAGTTGTAATGAGCCCAACAAACAGAGCCAATCAAGGTAGAAAAGAGAATAGTAAATGATATACTGCTTAATATAAATCCTTATTTCTTAGAGAGACATGATTTCCAAGGAACACAACGAACATTAAATCTAATGTTGCTTTACTTTCACAACTCTTTCCTAGTTTCCCTGTTATCTGTCTCCATTAGTAACACAAACCTCATTTCTGCATCCATGATTTAGCTCTACTCCTTCAGAAACTTTGTTACACTCATTCTCTGCACATATGGAAATAACTTCGTCTATGCCAGACCTTCATATTTGGATCAGTGTTTTGGTACACCATAGTGAAATGTAACGGTAGGCTGTTTCAGTTATGTTCAATTCAGCAACTCAGATTAAAAACAATACTTGTCATAATAAATCCCACACTAATATTAAAGTAAAATTTACAAAATAGCCTGGCTCGTTTTTAACACTATATTGTTTTAATCCTCCTTGACTTGTTCTAAATATCCTTTATTATACTGAAGTCCATAAATATTGTTGATTAAAAAAAACTTGACTGACCAGGTCAAGGTATCAAAGGTCTTTAATAAATTTTTTTAAAAGGATGCCCTCACATCAGACTTATTTAAAAGGGGATAGAAAATTGTCAAAAACTTGCATTTAAATTAAAATGACCCACAGGACTAGTAAAATCTTTTGGTTTTCTGTAAATAAATATCGACTTTAGGAGTTGAATTTAAAAATTTTTGCACACTAAAATTGAGAGACCGTTTTTTTGTTTTTTGTTTTTTGTTTTTTTTTTTAATCTGCATTTTGATT